AAAAGATGAGAAATACCTAGAGCATGCCAATTCACCTTGAAATCTTGAAGAGCTCCTTTAGCTAATGCATTATGTAGTAACAAAGAAAGATCCTCCGCCACAAACAGGAATAAATACGGAGATAAATGATCCCTTTGCCTGATACCACGAGAAGGGGAGAACGACTTCAAGAGCTGACCATTAAAGTGCACTACAAATTTGATTGACATAACATAAGCCATAAGACAGTTTAGCCAACCTGCTTCAAAACCCGAAGCCCTGGACACACTTTTCAAAAAGTGCCAATCCACCAATCATATGCTTTGGCTAAATCCAATTTATAAGCATGAAATTCGCCGTGACTATTCTTGAGCGTACTCAAAAGAATGTACACAGTCAAAAGCTATAAAAGCATTATCAGAAATTAATCTCCCAGGAATAAAAGCACTTTGGGTTGGGGAGATCATACCATCAAGAAGCGGCCTCAACCTATTCACGAGGCACTTAGAAATAATTTTATAAATAACATTGCACAGGATGATAGCAGGAAGGAAATCTTTAATATACTTGGGTTTCTTCACCTTTGGAATAAGAACATTAACCATATCATTTACGCCATCTAGCATTATACCAGTGGTGAAGAACTTTTTCATTGCAGGAATAATATCCTCTGTAAGAAAAGATATTCAATCATGTACATCTCACATATGTATCAACTTGCTATGCAAGATATACACCTCATGAATGCCCAGCTGTCGTCGCCTCTGCAAATCAGCCCAGGTCCTCGGCCTTATGCCAGCGCTGCCGCCGGTCTGTCTTGTCTCCGGTGGCCCTAGGGCATGGAGGTGTGCTGGATCCCGGTCCTTGCCGGATGGGGGTTCTATTTTAGATGTTTTTCTGGGTTTTGTTAGGGTTTGTGTCCAGCTTAGGAAGGACAAACAGCAGCGGCTCCCTGAAGATGGAATAAGGTTCCCCGCCTAGGCCCCGACACAGTGGTGCATAGCATCATCGGAGGGCGTGTGGAGGTGTGTCTCCGGTGAATCTCGCGGGATTCGATCGGTGCTTGTCTTTGGCAGATCTACTCAGATCCGGTCTTCGTTCGTCTATGTTCATGTGTCTTTAGGGTGGATCCTTTCGATATATGCATCTTTTCATCGGCGACGGTTGCTGGTCTGGTGCCCTGGTCCTATGGGGCCTTAGCACTACGACTTCCCGGCTATCTACTACAACGAGTTTTGCCCGGGACCGGAGAGAGATGAGCGATGACGGCGGTGCGCCTTCGGCTCGCTTCAGTGCTTGTAGTCGTTGCTATGGTCTATCAAACTGGATGTAGTTTTTATTATTTCTGGTGTTCATTGTACCGCCATGATTGAATATGAATAGCTTGGAATTTTTCTCACAAAAATAATCCTCTTTGAGCAGTCCCTAGTTTCGCTGAAAAAATCGTGCAGGAAAGCCATCTAGATAGCCGTCTTTTATTAATGGTTTGCATGATTAATATCTTTATGAGTTTTCCTCCATGTGTTTCGAGCCTCATTTTTTTAGCGATCCAATGCACCCCATCTTTGTCTATGTTGTCTCCCTTCATTCCTCCAAAAATAATGTGTTTATTTTTAATGCACTATCCAAGTGCATCACATGCAACATTCATATCTTGTGAGATCTTTTAAGAGATCATGTAGATGCACTTTGATTCGCAGCTGAAAAGCTGACGTTAAATTTTTAACATTTAGGACAGTAATTTTAGAGGATGCGATCATTATGATCTTCTCTTGATAATTTGTTTGATTTGTGTTTCATTGTAGGAGTTCTCTATAAAAGTTTTTCTGCATGACTTCACTGCACTATAATTATCGAAAAACGCTTTCGCCCCGTTTTATATATAAAGCAAAGATCATCAACAAATCCGGTACAAACGCACGCCAACACAACACACACATCCAAGGCAGGATACAAAGATGCTGTGCGCAATAACACCACCCCTAACACTACAAGAGCAACCGGAGATCTCGGCCGTGACCACGCCACCGCTAAGAGGTGAAGCCGCATATGGCGAACCGTGTGCTTCAAGGCGGCGCCTTCAGAAAGGGAACGACACTGGAGCGCCGCCACCGCCCGACACGAGGGTCAGGGTTTCCCCTGGAGAAACACAACGGGCAATGAAGGCCGCGACGACGCCTTCAAGAAGGAAGTGAGTCGCCGCCGCCGGTCCGTCCAAAGATAGAGCAGGTTTTCACCCCGCCCAACAATCACCACCACCGAACGTCACACCCAGGTAACCATGCCGCCCACAAGGCCATGGTTCACCAGGCAGCACCAAGCCACGGGCTCTGCCCGTGAGCACCGCGCTCCCACCACCAGGGCCGCCGCCCTGGCATCAAAGACCTTGACACCACCTCACCCGAGACCCGCCGCTACTCCAACCAAAGAGACGAGTGGAAAGGTCCCGTCTTTCGCACCCCTGGGCGACCCCCATCGCCGAGACCCAAGAGGTCGGCCGAAACTGGCCTCCATAGACCTGTCCTGCTGCACCGGGCGCGAGACGGGCTCAGTCCTGCTGCCGGACGCGAGACGAGGTCGGTCCTGCTGCCAGGCGCGAGACGAGATCGGTCCTGTTGCCGGGCGCGAGACGAGCTCGGTCCTACTGCCGGGCACGAGACGAGATCAGTCCCGCAGCACCAGACGCGAGACAGGCGATGGACCGCAGCTGGGAGAGGGCCAGCCCTTTGACGAAGGTAGCGTCCGAACGCCGAGGAGAGGAATCGAAGGCCACAACAAGCCGCTTCCCGACGGGCCGACGCCGGAGATGTCCGTCCGCCGCCGTGAAACGACCCAAACCACCGCCGTGAGCCACCACCACGCCGTGGCAGCCCACATCCATGCCGGGACCCCGAGGGACAGCCCCGAGCCGCCCTGCAGCGGCTGAGGTGCGCCGCTGAGGTCGCAGCCCGCCCCCGCGCCGCCCGTCTGCGCCAGATCCCAAACCGGGAGCCGCCGCCGCCACGAGCACGCCAGCCAACGCGCAGCCTGCGCCCCAGCCCCGCCGCCACCTCCCGCACCATGACGAAGCACATCGGAGTCGGGTCCGGCCGGACCTGACCAAGGACGCCCCACCGCGACCAACGTAAGAGAGCCCACCTCCCGCGCCGCCTGGATCCCGCGACACCAGTGCGCTCCACCGCCCCCATGCAGCCCTCCGCACCACCAGGAGACGCCCAGCACCGCCGCCAGTCGCCTCCACAGCACCGCCGCGCCGTCCCGCACCACGACGCGCCCCGACCTGATTGGATCTGCCCGCGGCAGCCCCACCACGCAAGGGGGAGAAATCGCCCTGCCGGCCGCCGGGCTTTGCCCGCCAGCGCGAGCAGGCGGCGGCGAGGAGGGAGGAGGAGAAGGAGGACTGCTGGTGGGGGGCGGCTAGGGTTCCTCCCCTGCCGCCCGCGGGAGCGACAGAGGGAGGAGCGACAGAGGGAGGAGCAGCATTTATCCAGAGTGGTAGCTTTTTCACTGCACTACAATTATAGGATAGGTTTCATTGACTCAAAGACCTTGTTAAGATCCTTGATTTTTCATGGCGCAACAAACATATTTTGGTGCAAATTCACAACGACAACATCTAAGTGTCCATGATATTTTTTTTTTGAACATCAGTACATACACAAAGCGCTCATATACACGCGCATACACTCACCCATATGAACAGACATACGCACACCCTACCCCTATGAGCACCTCCGAAAGACTGAGCCGACATATCATTTTGAGATTTACGAAGTTACCATAAACGCTTCGTCGTCGACGGGAACGTCTCCTCCCACTGAATGCGCATAGCCGGAAATCCTGAAATAAATTCAGGAATAAATGCGAGCATCAGAATTTAAACCTGGTGGGTTGGGGATACCACAGTCCCTCTAACCATCCAACCATAGGTTGGTTTGCAAGTGTCCATGACATTGCAATCTACTAGTGTTTACCCTATTGATGTGTTTTGGTACATCTTAATACACCTTGATAGACGGTTCTACATACCCTACTAGTACTATCCAAACAGATCTCCACTCGGTCAAATATGGAGCAGAAGATTTGTTAACCCGATTTGGCAAGCCGAATTTGTGATTTCATTAGTTATTGCACACGCGATGCATGCTGCTTGCACCACAACGGCAACGAATAAACACCGAACATGGCGAGCACGGCATTGCTTGACGCGATGGTTTATTACTCGCCTGAAGCGGACAAATTCACTGTTTTGCCCTTTTTTAAAAATAATAATAATTCAGCACGATCTTTTTTTTTTGAAAATAACTTCAGCACGATCTGAAGCGGCGAACAACTCAGATTTTTCGAAACAGTATTTGCTCCCAACGAACAGAGGGAAAGGACCCGCAGGCCCATCACGAGTCCACACCGGCCCCTGTGCAACCCGTAGTAATCAATCGCCCCAACCGGCTTACTCACCGACGCAAAAGTTGCAAGCAAAATAATATAATCACACAAACTGCCCCGGCGAATAAACTGCTGCCGCGCGCAGTGCGCGAATCTGTTCTAGATTCGCTCATTTCGGGGAGTACATGTATTTTCGGAAAGGAGACTGTCAGATAAGAGAAAAAAAGAAAAAGCATCACTTCACTTAAAATAAACCACTACAAAAAATAGTGGCAATATCGGCATGAGTCAAGCTTAGAGATGCTCGGCAACATGTTTATTAAGCTGTAATATGTATTCCTTCCGTCCCATAATATAAGAATATTTTTAACACTAATATAATGTTAAAAACACTTTTATATTATGGGACGGAGGGGGTAGAAAATAATACCTATTTACATAGATCAGGTGGTGAAATGGTATCATTACATCTGTCAGCTAAATATTTTAATAGACCCCCACCACACACACGCACATTTTTTTAATATATATTCATCCGGGAACTAGCACCCAAAAGCATCATAACGAATGGAGTAAGAATATATATATGACTATTGACCGGTAGTATTCTGTTTTTTTTTTGACAGGAAAAAGAAATGGGGTGGAGCAACGTGATTGAGGGAGAGCAAAGCGGGAGAAAACAACACAACAGTGCATTTGTTGCGGACACGGACTTTGGCAGCCATTCAATGACCCACCAGACACTCATCTCTTCCGCCCCTGCTGCCGCTGCCTTTTCCTCTGCTCCTCACCTCCTCCACGCCTCCCTCCCTACCCTTTCCCCCTCCTACTCCTCTGCAGCCGCCTCCGCCATGTCGTCGTCGTTCGCGCACCACCACGGCTCCCTGCAGGTAAATACATAGCCTCTCTGTGCTGAGACGTGTGTGTGTGTGTGTGACGGTTTCTAGCAAGAGAGAAGGTGGTTCTCTTCTCTAGAGGGAACTGACGAGAGCTTGCTCTCCTGCTTTCTGTGGGTGCGGTTTCAGGCGGAGAGGATGTCCGCGCTGAGGAGTAGCCTCAGGCCGTGCGAGGCAGCCGAGGAGGTGGCGGCCGCCGTGGTCGCTGGGCCGGCGCCGTGGGGAGCCGGGCTGCTGGGTGACGGCTTCTCGGTGGAGGAGCTCCTAGACCTTGAGGAGCTCTGCGAGGTGGACAAGGAAGGCGGCTTCCTCTGCGAGACGGCGCCGGCCGCCGAGGAGGACGAAAAGTGCAGTGACTCCCACGGGTCGTCGGCGGTCTCCTACGAGCTCATGCCGCTTATTCCGCCGGAGATGGACCTGCCGGTAAGACGTTTCACCTTTTTCTTTGCCTTTCTCCGGCCAGACGGCGCTATTTTAGGTTTCCAGCGTTATTCATTTCTTTTGCGTGCTTTCTGTGTAGGCCCACGACGCGGAGGAACTGGAGTGGGTGTCGCGTATCATGGACGACTCGCAAGCAGAGCTCCCGCCGCCGCCGCAGCTCCCAGCGCCAGCGGCGTGGCCACCGCAGCACCGCCAGCCGCAGGAAAGCACCGTGCCGGCCGTGGACCCTATGCGGACCCCGACCATATGCGCGCTTTCCACGGAAGCGCTGGTGCCGGTGAGGTCCAAGAAGCGCAGCAAGCGCTCGCGCGGCACCACCGTATGGTCGCTCTCCGGCGCGTCCATATCCGACTCGGCGTCGTCGTCCGCCACCAGCTCCTCCTGCTCCTCGTCGGCCTCCCTGTCGTCCTTCTTCCTGATGGACTCCCCCACCTTCAACCTCCTGGACGAACCGCCACGCACCAAGAGCAAGAGCAAGAAGTCGAAGCACAAGGCCAAGAAGCGCGGGCGCAAGCCAAAGAGCCACCTCCCGCCGCAGCTGTCGGGCGGCGCCGCCTCCCCGCCCGGGCAGGGCGACCGGCGCTGCAGCCACTGCGGCGTGCAGAAGACGCCCCAGTGGCGCGCGGGGCCAGAGGGCGCCAAGACGCTGTGCAACGCCTGCGGCGTCCGCTTCAAGTCGGGGCGGCTCCTCCCGGAGTACCGGCCGGCGTGCAGCCCCACGTTCGTGGGCAACCTGCACTCCAACTCCCACCGCAAGGTGCTGGAGATGCGCCGCAAGAAGGACCCCGTCCCCGTCGTCATCGAGGCCGCAGCCGCGCCGGCCGTGGCCTCGTTCTAGCCGCCCCTCCCCGCGGCGGCTAGTGTACATCTTTTTCGGCCGTGTCGTTGATTAGTCTGTTGTAACGTACTCCTCCTGGATTTTTCTTGGCGTCCTCTATTTAGTTGTTGCCCTACTACTAGAAAGAACTTGTTAGAAAGTAGTTTTAGTAGAAGTCTATTAGGTCGTGTTAGGTGCAGGGATTACCACTGCTCTACTAAGCTTTCGGGTTTAGCTTTGGTCTGTTAGGATATTGCCGTAGAAGTGGCGCCTTTTTAGTGGAGCCTCGGGAAGAAAGCTTTCGAAGTTGTTTGAATCATGCGAGGGGCAGAAGTGGCAATGTCCATCCTTGGGTTATCTTTGGTGTGAAGCAAGAAGCTAGCTAGCTAGCGGCCTTGTTTTTCTTTCAAGGAAGCTGCCAACGATTCCGGAAGAATACCATGTCTGGTAGTAGTGTCATGGCGTGGATTCCCCTCTTCCTCTTCACATCAGCGTGCCTGTGCCAAATCTACCCAAGGAGTTGCAGCTTACGGCCCTTCGTCATTACTGCAAACTCGTATCTGATCTGATTAATGGCCACCGCACATAGGGTACGAACAGTTCCATCTACGACACCCGAATTACTGCTGCATTCAAAGCGGAACCAGTAGACTAGGCCACGGGTTGCCAGCCAAAAATCTTCACGAGAGTCCTGAATTGTATACGAGAAGAATGCAATTGTTATTTGCATCTGGACCCTTTTCACCAGTCAGCACTGGCCGCCTGGCACTGGCAGAGCGTAGCGAATGGCGCGCGAGTTACTTCGAAAGAACGTTTCTACGGTACTAGTACTACTGGCCATTGGAGCTATCTTGGCAAGGTCATGGCCAGGTGCCTCGAATTTTGCGTACCCCGCATTTTAATATACTCCGTTCGGACAGAGTACTCCCTCCGTTCCAAAATATAGCGCGCCCACGTTTTTCGAGGTTCAACTTTGACCATAAATTTAACCCACGAGACCGACTGCGGCGGGATAAAAAATTATATAATTAAAAACTTTTTTTGAATACGAATTCATTGGTATAATTTTTTCGCCCGCCGCAGTCGGTCTTGTTGATTAAATTAATGGTCAAAGTTGAAGCACGGAAACCGAGGACGCGCTATATTTTGGAACGGAGGGAGTAGTGCTTTGGTTGCAGCGGCCGCACTGCGATGCTCCCTCTCGTGATGCGAATTCCCTGCCAGGCCAGGTGCTCTGCTCAGGTCCGTTTGCACGACTAGTGTGGAACAACGTATAGTATTAAACAACCATTTTAGAAGTATTATACATTTTGGAACAATGGATTGTTGAGAAAAAAATTGTAATCTTACATGAAATAGTACACTGTGAGGGAACTAAATATGAACTCGAAAAGTCATGCTTCTTTGTTTCGCATGATTCTATAAGGATTCGAAAAATAGTGGAATAGAGAAAATGCAGAGTTGCTTTCCTTTCGCGAATACGCAAAAGGTTCGCTTATCATTTCGTTGATAGGGTGAAAATGCAGAATTGCAATACAATGTCCATTTGAACTCTACATAATTGAATTTGTATCAATGTATGTTTGATTGCACCGCAGTAAAAACGAATAATTCATTCCAAGAGATTCGAGAGCACCGCAGTAAAAACGAATGATGAATGCTTAGAAAATTTTCCTATACTATTCAACCTTACCATCATTTTGTAACCCTTAGTATTTTCTTTAAAATTCCTAATGTTTGTTAAATTGTAATTTTAGACTTGTTTTAAAACAACAATTAGAAAAAATAAAGAATTTGTTCCCGCACAGGAACATTTTGTGGAGGAGCCAAACATAGACTCTAGTCTCACCAAGTAAACCTTTGAAATTCCTAATTCATTTCACTCTCCTAACTTTCTTTGATCAAAAAATTACTGCAATTTTGATGCACAACATCCAAATACTTCTTCAAAGTCAGCATAAATTTGATTCATGTAACATTTATATTGTCATGACTCTCCTTTCTATTTGCACGTTTTCAGATGTCTAATTTCAAAGATATTCCCAACAACACAATTTATTTTACAAAGGGAAAAAGTGAAGCAGGTGCTAGCAAGATTTTTTTGTTTTCTTCTTAGAATAGGTAATAACGTAAACACGGGACCTTTATCACTTTTGTAATTTCTTGGTTTAAAAACTACTCTCTCCATTCCCTTATACAAGGTCACTATCAAAAATACATTTTGCATCAATACAAGGCCACCAACAATAATCGAGGCAAAAATTAATAATGTTTCCTTGTACTAGCAACTTTTTAATACTTACATGAATGTAGTCACAATGACACTCAGCTACTTCCTTCACATTCATTCGTTGCATGCTTGTGATGTATTAATGATTCCGATTAACGAAAATAAAAGTTGACTTGCAAATGAGTCATTAAATTTTATCTTGATACCTGTAATATGAGTTTGTGGCCTTATATAAGGAAATAGAGGGAGTACTATAGTTCTTTTTTAAGAACGTAGGCTCAAGATGCGCCCGACCCTAAACTAATAATGCCTTAAACAAGGCAACCAAGTAAAAAAGTCTAACACTTACACACCACATGGCAGCAACGACTATAGGATAGAGCTTGCAAACGAGTATAGAGACTCGGAACAAATGGAAAACTAGGGCCCGGAGGTGGAGCTGTCCGTCCTCATGATGGCCCAGATCTCCCTAATTAGCTGAACTGCCACGTCCATATTGTCCGAGTCCCTCAGTTTCCATGATGGCCCATAATTGCATAAACATAATACATTTGAAGACGCAGTCAATACGATTCTAATTGATAGCCCGCTTGATCGTCAACTTGTTGGTTATTACAGATCATCCATAGGGAGCATAATTGTCAGTGACGCTCACCCACGGGCGAAGAGTACTGAAGATCGAACCAAGCGGCAACAGGTTCAGATACTGTTCACCATCCGGCAAGCGAGGAAGCAACGGCAAGGACCAAGGCTTCGAGCGGGCCTGCGATGCGGCCCACTCAAACCAAGACGAAGCCCGGGTGGAATGGCGGCCCAGAGTGGACTCGGTAGTTAAATACAACTATGTAACATTTGAATTGACTTGGCTTGGACTTAGACGGTGGCTCCGGCCGATTGTAATCCAGCTGTAGCAGTGAGGGAGGTTGGGAGGAAAAGCACGCTACCGAATTCCACATGTCGCCATGAACCCCAGTTCCTCTTCGTAGATCGATCGCGACCCTTACACTTGGTATCAGATTCGGCAGTCCTGGCGCTTCCCCAACATCATCACGAGACGCGGTGGCTAGATCGACGGCGAGCGGCGGCGATGAAGAAGCTATCGGAGCATGGGCGGGGCGTCTACAAGCTCCTCCGAGCGGATCTCGTGGTCGACCTCGACAAGCGCTTCAAGGAACAAGGTGCGGATCTCATCAAGGCCATGGAAAAAGCTGATCTTCACGAATACCATGACCCTCGATGGCTTGCTCTCCTTGCGGGTGGACGGGGTACGCGACGAGCTGTTGATGGAGCTAGAGCAGATCTGCGCGACCAGTCGAAGGGGAGCCCTTCGCGACATGAAGATCCATCACCGTCGCGCGTGGCTGGGAATGGTCGCGGCGGTGCCCCGACTGATTCCCTCGGCTTCGACCACGACCATCGAGGGAAGGCGCATAATACTTATGTCCCTCCTCCGGTCAGAGGTGCGTTGATAACCCACAAGTGTAGGGGGTCGCAACAGCTTTCGAGGGTAAAGTATTCAACCCAAATTTATTGATTCGACAGAAGGGAAGCCAAAGAATATTCTTGAGTATTAGCAGTTGAGTTGTCAATTCAACCACACCTGGATAACTTAGTATCTGCAGCAAAGTATTTAGTAGCAAAGTAGTATGATAATAAAGGTAACAGTGGCAAAAGTAAAGATAATAGTTTTTTGGGTTTTTGTAGTAATTGTAACAGTAACAACGGAGAAGTAAATAAGCGAAGAACAATATGTGAAAAGCTCATAGGCAATGGATCAGTGATGGATAATTATGCGGGATGCGATTCCTCATGTAATAGCTATAACATAGGGTGACATAGAACTAGCTCCAGTTCATCAATGTAATGTAGGCATGTATTCCGTAAATAGTCATACGTGCTTATGGAAAAGAACTTGCATGACATCTTTTGTCCTACCCTCCCGTGACAGCGGGGTCCTAGCGGAAACTAAGGGATATTAATGCCTCCTTTTAATAGAGAACCGGAACAAAGCATTAGCACATAGTGAATACATGAACTCCTCAAACTACGGTCATCACCGAGAAGTATCCCGATTATTGTCACTTCGGGGTTGTCGAATCATAACACATAATAGGTGACTATAGACTTGCAAGATAGGATCAAGATCACACATATATTCATGAAAACATAATAGGTTCAGATCTGAAATCATGGCACTCGGGCCCTAGTTACAAGCATTAAGCATAGCAAAGTCATAGCAACATCAATCTCAGAACATAGTCAATACTAGGGATCAAACCCTAACAAAACTAACTTGATTACATGGTAAATATCATCCAACCCATCACCGTCCAGCAAGCCTACGATGGAATTACTCACGCATGGCGGTGAGCATCATGAAATTGGTGATGGAGTATGGTTGATGATGACGACGGCGATGAATCCCCCTCTCCGGAGCCCCGAATGGACTCCAGATCAGCCCTCCCGAGAGAGATTAGGGCTTGGCGGCGGCTCCGTGTCGTAAAACGCGATGAAACTTTCTCTCTGATTTTTTTCTCCCCGAACGTGAATATATGGAGTTGGAGTTGAGGTCGGTGGAGGTCCAGGGGGCCCACAAGATAGGGGGGCGCGCCTAGGGGGAGGGGGCGCGCCCCCCTGTCTCGTGGACAAGGTGTGGGCCCCCTGGTGTATTTCTTTTGCCCAATAATTCTTATTAATTCCAAAAAGTGCCTCCGTGGATTTTTAGGACATTCCGAGAACTTTTCTTTTCTACACATAAAACAACACCATGGCAGTTCTGCTGAAAACAGCG